CGTCCGGTGGTAGGCCTTGCCTATCGTCGAACTGACGAGTATGCCACGATGCGCGCTGCACTGTGAAGCGCTCGATTTCCCCTTCCACACCGCGAAGAGGCTTCCCCCCTTCCATTGGATGGGTTCAGAAGCCCTCATGGAGATCTTCAGTATTAATTGAAAGAATGCTAAGGAGAACTGTCCTGCGGCGAAGTGAAGAACCTCACCTGGGACGCCATCTATACCTATTGCCCGTGCCGTCTGAGTCTTACGCAGTGATTGCTCGAGCTCAGCCCGTGTGGGTAAATCTGCGGGCAGCAGCGTATAGGTGTCAAGGTCTTTTGCTTGCTGGAAGGAGGCGCATTCCTGCACAAGGTCAGAGGGCGAGATACGGGCACCGTCCTCTATGCCGGAGAAGTGCTGAATCCATACATTCTCTGCCTCCTCAGCACTTTGCACCGGCTCCCCACTGGGGTGGCAGACACTCCTTAGCGCTCGCTGTCTGTTAGCCGCACGTTTGGGCGGTCCAAGGAGGGGACGGAGTCTGGTAACGACATCCGCGGTAGGGAGGGCAGCCGCGTATTCGGCTGTTACATTGACCCGGTGAAGAACATCCTGACGTATCAGGTGTCGCAATTGGCTCTTGGCAGCCTGCATGTCAACAACAAGCCCTCTGAACTTGCGAGTATGCGGCAGGATGCGAAAGAGTGCAAGGAGGCGCCCTACCGGAAGGGTGACATTGCGGTGGAGGCAAAGAAGTGCCGCCCACGCTTCGGCGAGCCCAAGCAGGTGCCTTACGCCAGCTAGTTGTCTTCGCAACCAAGACCGGCGTTGTCGCAACTCCCATGTGCCCGAGCTGAAATGTGAGGAACGGCATCTTCCCCTTTTTGAGGGGAATGCCAAAGCAAGCTCCTGCCGGAAGAATGCCTCTATCTGAGCATAGTGACGATGGACATTGGAGGACCAAGGTTGGAGCGGCAGGGCCCGGCAAATGCCCTGCAATGTGGCTCGACCGGTTGCGGTGCACATGGCCTCCCTGTCAAGACTGGCAACCTGCGACTGGCGTACCTTGGAAAGCTGCGCAGCGAAGGATGTCGACAGGCCAATGCCAAAGTGATCAACCCTGGCCTGCCCCCAGTCGAGAGCGGTGTCCACCCACGATCCGCCATATGGTACACGCCAGGTGCTGGGCACCGCACAGTAGTCTAAGCGTGCTCCGCTAGTGCCCCCTGGTGACATCCAGGTCTCATCCTGCCCTCTATGGAAGCCTGAGAAGGTACTAGGGAGCCACATGTCTTGGTCCTGCAGCAACTCCAACAAAGCGGGCGGAGGGCCATACTTGCACGGGGATACACGGTCCCCGACTCTACCCGAGACGCCACTATGGAA